TACACAAACTCTTTTACTTCTACACAAACACCCTAAAATTATCTATCAACCCAACACACATACAAAGAAAAACAAACACAGCAACTAACACACAAACAAACAAATAGACAGACAGATACACAAGCAAACTAGCAAACAGACAGACAAACAAACAAACACACGCGCACAATCCCACACCTTCTTCCCTCCAGGGTGACTGTCTATTGTAACCTGAAAATACGAGCAATAATCGACCTTATTGTGCCTCTGCCAAAGGGTTATCTCGATCCCGTGCGGAGAAGAGAGGTTGTGTGTCTTCTATAAAGGGAAAAGAGAAGGAGAGAGGGAGAGGGAGGGAGGAGGAGGGGGAGAGAGAAGGGGAGAGAGAGGGAGAGGGAGGGGGAAAAAGGGGGGGAGGGGGAGAGAGAGAGGGAGAGGGAGGGGATGGGGTAGGGAGAGGGAGGGGGAGGGGGAGGGGGAGTGGCAGGGAGAGGGAGAGGGAGAGGGAAGGGGAGGGGGAGGGAGAGGATGGGAGTGAGAGAGTTGGATCTCTCCAACTCTCTCACTCCCAGGGAGGGAGGAGGGAGAGGTGAATGGAAGGAGAGAGAGGGAGGAAGAGAGAAGGAGAGGGAGGGAGAGGGAACGCTCAGCCAGCACTGGGATCCTTTGCTCCATCACTCGGCCGTTCATCCGTTCTTTCACTCTGTCGTTCCTTCTTTCTGTGATTCTGCCCTTCCTTCATTCCATCGATCTGCTGTTCCTTTGTTTTATCCTTTTCTCACTCTATCTCTCCATCATTCCATCCTTTAATCGTTCCATAGGTCTATCATTCTCTGTTTCATCGTTCCGTCGTTCCATCGGTCCGTCTTCCCATCTCCCCGTCGTTTAGTCATTCCACCTTTCGACCATTCCATTGTTCCCTCGTCCCACCGTTCCGTCGTTCCCTCGTCTTGGCACCCTTTCGTTCCTTCAAGTTCTATCACTCCTCGTTCCATCATTCCCTTGCTTCCTCGTACCACCGTTCCGCCGATCCTAAGTCCACCCTCCCTTCACCCCATCACGGCCTGGTCCCATCAATCACTCCATTCCATCGCCTGCCCCTTCCACGCCTACCTTACGTCTCCCTGGCCAATCCATCACGCTGGCTCGGTCGGGAAACGTGCTGTTCCTTCCTTCCTTCTCCTTCCCTCTTCCTCCCTCGCTCCTTCCCCTTGACTCCTCTCCCTCTCCCACCTCCCTCTTTCTTTCCTTCTGCCCTATAATTCCTTGTCCTTCCTTCCTCCCTTCCTTCCCCTCTCTCGTCTCTTCTCTACCCCTCTACCCCCTTTCTCTCACTCCCGATTCCTCTTTCCTCTCCTTCTATTCTTTCCTGCTGTCTTGTCTTAACTCTTCTCCCTTCTTCCTCCTTCTCATCCTTCCTCCTTCCCTCTGTCATTCTCCATCCCTCCCTCCCTCCCCATCTCTCCCTCCTCTTCCCCCCTTATCTCCCATCCCACCCCCTTACCCCTTCCCCTGTCTCACTCTCCTACCCTCTCGCTTCCTCATCCCTCCATCCCTCTTCCCCGTCTCTCCCCCTCCCAGGACATGCAACGGCTTGCAACAGTAGCTGAGGCGGAACACGCAAGCTGTCGTTTTCACAAAGGTACGTTTCCTGTCACCTCTTCAGCGCAGTGCCCTTGCGGTTCATTTCAGTCGTATTTTTATTCCTCGTGCTCTCTCTCTCTCTCTCTCTCTCTCTCTCTCTCTCTCTCTCTCTCTCTCTCTCTCTCTCTCTCTCTCTCTCTCTCTCTCTCTCTCTCTCTCTCTCTCTCTCTCGTTCTCCTCCCCTTCTCTCTCTCTCTCTCTCTCTCTCTCTCTCTCTCTCTCTCTCTCTCTCTCTCTTCTCTCTCTCTCTCTCTCTCTCTCTCTCTCTCTCTCTCTCTCTCTCGCCCCCCCCCCCTTCTCTCTCACTCTCCACCATTTTTTTCTCTCATTTCTTAGGGTATTGCCTCATCTTTCGTTTCTTATCTTAAAGAGTTTTCTCTGTCTATTCCTTCCTTTATCTGTTTATTCGTCTATCTACTCTGCATCTATGTTTATCCAGGAACTTTAATTATAATCTATTTTACCGTATATTGCTTGGAAATGTAATGTAGTTATAAACCAAATAATTCGCTCTTGGAATAATTACTTATTAACTATCAAATAACTTAATTCTCCAAATACAATGATATTAAACCATCCAGTTATTGCTCCATAGTTTTTAAAAAAAGGAAGTTTTAATTCAGTTAATCGTTGTATCTGGCAATAAGTGTTCAATAATATTTAAATTTTCGCTCTCGATTTTTTTCCCATGATTTTTAGTTTTTTTGGCTTTCTTCCCTTTTTTCCCTTGTTTTTTTTTTGACATATTTTTCCCTAATCCTTTTTTTTCTCTCTTCCTTATTTCCCTATTTTTTCCCCCTATTTTTCCCCCTCCCTTTTTGTTTTCCTTCCTTCCTTTTTTTGCTCTGTTTTTTCATTTTCTTCTTTCTTTATTTTC